ATGATACATAATTTAAATGTGTTAGGGCCATTATTTATTAAGTCAAATAATAAAGTGATCTGACTAAATTAAAGTTTTGGCTAAAGGCATATGTCATGAAAATAAAATTGTGTAGAGACCATTGAGCAATTTCTAATTTGATGAGGGGTCAAATTGGAAATACTAAAACTTAAGTAATTAACATAATTCTGATTATTTAAAGGGTCATGGTCCCCTTCTGGGAGCACACACACAGAACGTAAGTATCAGTCCCGTTCCTTTCTTTCTATCCCCATCAAGAGAGAAAATCAGGAGGGAAATACAGGTGCTCTTCAGGTGGAAGACCATAAGATCAATATAGTGCTCTACAAAGACATCATCATTATGGCTAATTCAGGTACGCTTTCGCATTCAGTTTACAACATATTTATCAGTATGGGATTACGTTTATGTTTGATCGTTAGAATCAAAATCAGTATTATTATTATTATTAATTTTCCAACAGCACTAACATGTGTAGAGGGACGATGATAAAGACCATGAGACTCACATCCTGTGTCAATCACCTATTTCGAACTCTGGTCCTATAAACACACATAATTGTTGGTAAAAAAAACAACACAATCAAGAGAACGAGTTAGACGACTAATGGATAACAGGTTAAAAGGAGACCCAGGAACATAAAGAACATTATCAATGGTTAAAGAAGGGAAAAGTTTAACAGTTCCAACACCATGAGATGATACTCTAGAGTCATCAGCCAGTGTAACAAAAGGTAAAGGATTAGGAGAGGATAAAGAGGAGAACAAAGATTTGTTACTAGTAATATGATCAGTGGCTCCTAAATCAAAAACCCAAGGACCAGAAGAAGAAGATTGGGTCAGACCAGCAAAAGATGTACCTGTGTGTGCGATAGACACAATGGAACTAGAAGACTATTGATCCTTATACCATTTGAGAAATTTGTTGAACATATCATGTGTGTCAGATGAAACAGAAGAATGAGGATCCCTAGTAGATAAAGGTGGGGAAAGATCAGTCTGTACAACTATAGTAGATCAAGGAGGACGACCATGTAATGCATAACACTTCTCAATCTTGTGACTTAGCTTGTCACAATGTTCACACTCATGTAATGCATAACACTGGTCAATCTTGTGACCTAGCTTGCCATAATGTTCACACTTAGGACGTCTTTTTCCCTGTTTGTAAGGGTGAGTTCAGTCATCACGGTGAGATACCAATGCAGAAGAATCATTAACATAAGCAGGTGTGTCAGGGTTGGGTTTTGCTAGTAGACGCAAAATAGTGGAGCAGGTCGAAGTCAAGGTGGAGACAACTGGAGAACCTAAAATCTGATCACGGATATGTGAATATTGATCAACAAGTCCGTGTAATGCCCCTAGCATGAAGAACTTTAATCGTTGTGCTATCTCGATGGCAGGGTCGGGGGAAGGAGGCAATAACTCATTGAACTCATGAAAAAGAGCATGAATTTTGCCCATATAATCAGTCATAGAATCTTAATGTTTAGAGACAATAACATATACAAATTTAGAACACACACCATAGAGACATTGAGTATCATTGGTATATAATAACTTGGCATGTTCCCAGATTTTGGCACACGTTTCGTAGGAACGAAAAATTTGTTTTAACGAAGGATCAAGAGTACCCTTGAGAACCACACATAATTGAGCATCAATGGTGTTCCAACGATCTTCCTCATCAGGAGTGAGAGTAAGTGCTTTCAAGGCAAGATGATCAAGATACTTCTGACTCTTAAGCCATAATATGACGCCTGATGACCATGTGGCATAATTAGGGTCAGTTAACTTGTCAATGGATAAGTACACATTAACATAGTTAGTGTAGATGGAAGGATCAGACGCAGTACTGACAAAATTGGAAGTACTAGAAGGAGCAGAAGAAGTCATAAAGGGCAGAGGCGGCGACGGTGGCAGTGACAGTGACGTGAACCAGTATACCAGATAAATTCCTAGGAAAGAGAGGTGGGTCACTAATGGACACGCTTAAATACCAAGTATTTCCTTGTCAGAACCTTCCTAGACATGCATTTTCACACTACCAAATAATATCCAGTAACAAAAATAACTTTTTTCTAATGTGGAAGATTAGTTTAACCGACAGCGGCGGCGGTGGTAGCTCCAGTAGTGGACAAAGGTGAAAAAATTTCAAAATAACCTTAAGCTCTAGATACCATGTTGAATATAGAGAAAATAGAGTTTGAAATTAATCTCCCTTGTGTATAAACCACACATAGGGTAATTTATTTATAATAAAGAGAGGTACAACTAAAAGAGTACCTGAAAATAACAGAATAAACAGAAGATATTGTTTGATATTATGGTTAACAATATCTTAATAATATTAAACAATATTAAACAATATCTAAACAATATCTAACACATTAAATGAAAACACAGACACTAATGTCCCCCTCACATGAAAGCAAATCCCAACCAAACCATTTCTATTCGATCTCATTTGGCAAGCCCTACAATTCAATTTGTTATTTAAGTACTATTCTTTATGCGTTTTGGATTTATTTTTTTCTTACATTTCTCATGGCTTCCATTAATACTTCAAACCCACCAAGTTCTGACCTTTGTCATTACAATTCTATTCCCCATAACATATGACTAGATTTAAGCATACACTAAATAAATAATACCCAAAGGTGCACTCTATTCTATTTTACTCATAACAACCTCGTATTACCCAATATTAACAAGAATTCCTTTTTACAACTTTAATTTTCTCTCACACTCAAGCAATGGTCACACTCAACATTTGGAAAAAAAAGTACAACTTCAAATATAAGACATACAACCATAACCAAAATCATTGCAAGACGAATCACAAAGACTAAAAGAATACGATTAACACTCACCGAGAACACACGAAGTACAACCGAAGCTAGTAGAGGCACAACATAAGTCGGTAACAATGCGGGGACTCCGTCTATCTCCAGCAATCACGATAGTTCTGGAACTTTGAAAAATGATGGAGGGTGGTCAATATCCTCTCATTATCTCTTCGGTCTCTCTAGCAACCAAATAAAGGGTGGACAGTGGTCTCTCCAACAACGATTTCCTTTTCACGTTTCCACTCCCAATTTCGCACTACTATAAATGAAGTCTCGAGTTTCGTCCCCCGTTTTCACATTTTTTACCTTTTTTCTTTAATTTATCTGTAACCTAACTTGCCACCTTAGCAACAATAAAATAAATAAATAAACACCATACAAGCAGGTGTCTAATGGGTGGACGGATAAATTGGGTGTACGATAATCGAGACTCTATACATATCCAAATCTAAGATAAAGCTTTATATTTCCATGAAAAGGTACCAACGTTTTCTTATATCACGACGAGTATTAATAAAAAAATATATTGTATAATAATATTTAAAATTAAATAGACATTATTTAATACCATATAATATATATATAATAAAATTTAAAATATTAGCATCAGTAATATTTTATTTAATAATTTATTCTCTATTTAATATAATTGTTTTAAATTGATACTAACATGTAAACTTTGAAATGAATACCATAAATAATATATTTTAAAAGAAAAATTACTTAAATATATTTTTTATCGGTTTATTTATCTAATTAGACATGTCTATTGTTCATTTACAAAATTTGATAAATGAGAATAAAATTGCCTAACATAATATTATTTTAATAAAAATATATATGTATTATAAATTAATTTGATAAAGTATTTACTTATTCTAAGAGTAAATATAAGAGCAAGTCTTTAGCATCCACTTAGTCAAGATCTAATGGTTAAGATAAATTACTATTTTAGATCAATAAATTACTAAAAAATGAATTATGATAATGAAAAGTAAATTTGTAACCCTTATTTTGGGATTGAATTGATCTCTTATCTTGTAGTGTATATATTAAATCATTATATTTAAAATAAAAACTAATTTCATAATATTAAATTAATTTTAAAAATGTATTTTTATTTTATTTAAACATTTTTTTAATTAATTTTTTGATATAGATACGTTAATAAAAAAATTCATTTTCAATCAAACCAAAATTGGTTTGTTAGCTCGTTGGCTTAACATAGGGTCAAGTTAGACAAAAAATTATCGTCCATTTCAAAATATAAATTAGATTGGACTATCAATATTTTTACTTACCTTACGAGTTAGCCTAAGTTGGGTCGGACCTCCCATTTTGATAACCATGTTTAAAACATGTTGAAAATTTTGTATTTTCATTAAATGATATATTTGTCAAATGACATCATTCTTTCACTATATCAAGTATCTCGATTATTTTAGTTTTCTTTTTTTACCGTAAAAGTACTTTTTTTATATAAAAAAAATTACAAATTTTCTCATTAAATAAGTCTCTTCTTTTAAAATTTATTTTTCTTAATTTTAAATAAATATGAATAATTTTTTTAACTTGATATGCTAAAAAAATTTACTTTATCAAATAAGCTATTGAATTGGAAACTATTATTATTATTATTATTATTATTATTTCCTGACCAAATAATATAATAGCATAGTAATTATCATTGTTTTTGCTTAGTTGGATTTATAAAAGAGACATCATTTGTTAGGTGGATCACATGAGAAAAGACATGCATCAAATCCTATATTAAATTGTTGTAACAGAAACATTTTACGCAACAACATGATAACTCACTTTGTTTATTTTTGGTATTGGTCAATTTGACCGAGCCTTCATAATCTCATTCCAAGCTCGTAGGCTTGGAAGAAGCAAAAGAAACCATTTGAAATGGGAAATATTCTTTGAATATTGAATATTTACATGGTATTTTGCAGAAACAATGCTTGGATCGAGAACAATTAAACAAGAATCTTAAGGCACATGTGGGGTTGTGTTGGATTATCATAGGGTAACATTTGGATGGTAAAGAAGGGTTTGTAAGTCAATGCAATAATCTTTTGATACTTTGTATATGGGGTTTGATCAAATCAAACTCTAAGGAAAGAAAATGAGTTTCTTTCCTTGTTGCCCATCACAAAAGAGGCTCAGGAAGAAGACATTAAAGAAGAATATCAAGGAATACCATGAAAATAAAATCAAAACCTCATTTTCCAACATCTCTTTCAAAACAGGTATGTTTTCATAATTATGTCTCCTATTTCTATTTTGTATGTTTTGAATTGTATTTTTTTTATCATTAAATTGAATTATTTATATGTCAAAATGTTGTAAATTGTTGTTCTTCATGTTAACATTCGGTAGAAGGATTTGATTTCTCTTAAATATTGAGGTCTATAATGGAAAATTATATAATGTTAGAATAATCACAATTGGTTAATTAGTACTGATGGTGGTGCCTATAGGTTTTGTAAACTTTATTGTCAAGCCTTGTAACGGTATAAAATGAGCAGATCCAAAATGTAAGAGTTTAAATAATTGATTATCAAGTTGAGGGTGCAAATTATGTTGTTAAAGATAAATATCAATGTTAAAAACTTGAACATATTTTGTGTTGCAGATAGTGGCAAAAGAAAGTTCATAACAGATGAGATAGCAAAGCTTGGGAAAGGAAACATTACATCTAAGTATATTCCTTATCGTGAGCTATGTGTTGCAACTGAGAACTTTCACCCTGCCAATTTGATTGGTGAAGGAGGCTTTGGGAGGGTATACAAAGGACACCTTAAAAGCCTAAATCAAGTAATAATTACTTTGAATTCTCTCCAGAATATCATGTTCAAAGGAAGAATCTTATCTAAGTTATGACTAACCTTCAAAATTTTGTGTCACATGTAGGTTGTTGCTGTGAAACAACTTGACAGGAATGGATATCAAGGAAATAGAGAATTTTTTGTAGAGGTTTTGATTTTGAGTCTTTTGCACCACCCTAACCTTGTCAACTTGATAGGGTATTGTGCCGAAGGTGAACATAGAATTTTGGTATATGAATACATGGTCAATGGTTCTTTAGAAGATCACTTACTTGGTAAGTAAATGTATTTTTTACACATTTTTTTGTCCTGCAAAACATAATAGACAAATCATAATCACATCCAACTTGAGCATCAAATTTGAATAAGTTAAACTAAATGTTCATGACCAACAATAAAATGATTTTCAGATTTACATGAAGAAGCAAAGCCTTTGGATTGGCATACTAGAATGAAAATTGCAGAAGGTGCAGCAAAAGGACTTGAATATTTGCATGATGAAGCAAACCCTCCAGTGATATATCGTGATTTCAAAGCCTCAAACATATTATTAGATGAACACTTCAATCCAAAACTATCTGATTTTGGACTTGCAAAGCTTGGTCCAACAGGAGATAAAACACATGTGTCCACCAGAGTGATGGGAACATATGGATATTGTGCTCCTGAATATGCATCAACAGGGCAATTGACTACAAAATCAGATGTTTACAGCTTTGGAGTGGTCTTTTTGGAGATGATCACAGGAAGAAGAGTAATTGATTATTCAAGATCAGAAGAAGAACAAAATTTAGTTATTTGGGTATGTCTTTAAACCTTTCTTGTGTATCATAGTTCATAGCATTTCTTTAGGTAAAAAAACAAATAATGTTATTTGTTTTTGAAATATTGATTATAGGTTTAGAAAGATTTGATCTATTTTAATTTTTTTTATATCAATAGTGAAATGGTGTTAGTTCTCTATCAAGACTAATATGATATGTTGATAAGTAAATATAAAAGTTTTAAACATATTAAACTTTGATTTAAATTAATCTAAAAATAACAAATATTTTGAGGAAAAAAAACTTTTTTTATACAAAATAATTTTATTTTGTTATACTTATTTTACAAATTATATACAATGTTGAATTTAAGACAAAATAGTGAGTTAAAAAATAAATATTTTTCAATAGATGTAAGAAAAATAAATCTCTTCAAACCTTAATTTTTACACCCATTTGATGTTTTTCCAATTCTAATTCTTTTTCTTTATTACATAATTTACTATAGATATAGATTCCATGCATGCATTCTTGAATTTAGATAATTTGATGAAGACACAAAAATTTCATCAACCTTAAATATGATGTGTGATCACAATTCAACAATTTTGATTGAATAATTATATAAATGCTTAAAAAATATTCTTTGGAAAAGAAAGTAGCATGAAATGATTAGGATTAATGTTTCTTTTCAGGCACAACCACTTCTAAAGGATAGGAGGAAATTTATACAAATGGCTGATCCATTGTTAAAAGATAAGTACCCTTTAAAAAGTTTATATCAAGCTTTAGCAGTGGCAGCAATGTGTCTTCAAGAGGAAGCTGATACTCGACCTCTAATCAATGATGTAGTTACAGCCATTGATTTTTTAGCAAGGAAGAAAGTAGAAGTGGATCAACCACATCATACAAAACATATTTCTTATAACAAAGATGACGAGGATAATAATAATAATGAAAATGAAGATGAAGATGATAATGATGACAATGAAGATGAAGACGAAGATGAAAAGGAAAATATTAAAAAGAGTCATATCATAAATAGTAGTGAATACTAATGAATTCACAACAAATGATAACCTTCATTTTCTTATGTTAGTAGAAGATATAAGAACTTTTCTTCATGTGATCAAAACACAATGAAAAAGAAATCATGGATGCCCTAATAAAAATGCAACCCTTATAATTGTCATTCATCATTTTTGTTTCCGTTGTTGAAATAATTGATTTTGAATAGTCACAAGAGACTTTAACTAAGAAAACTCATCTAATATTTGAAAGTAATAATAGACTTTCAACATTTTTTTTAGTGATATTATAAAAATAAATTAGGTGTTTTACAATTTATCTTTAAAATAAATAACTCAAAATATGTATAAAAATATATTTGAATAAGACAGACAAGAAAAGAAGAACAAATCTTTTATAAGAAGAAGATGAAAGAATGAGATAAATTATTTTTCTTTTCATAAATTCTCCTTTACTTAATTTTTTATTTTAAAAAAAGTTTTTTTTTCATTTGTTTATAAAAATTAAATAAATTGAATTTGAATGTAAGAATATTCTAATAATCTTAATATTAATAGATTACTATTTTTTATAATAATTATTTTAAATTGATCTTTACAATGATTTATATATTATTATCTACACTTATTTTGATTTTGATTCTGAATCTTAATTAAATTATTTATTTTAAATATATTTTTCATAAATTGTATTAATTATAAAGGAGAAATTTGTTTAAAAAAAGTTAAATGAAAGAATAATTCAACATAATTTAAATTAAAATATATTTTGAAAGTATAATGATAATAAGACATTTAAGAAACAAGTAAATATATGTATATTAACGTGAATTTCGAATAAATATTATATCTCAAACTAGTTAATTATATATTAGGTATACTTATTAACCTGCATTCTTTAAGTATAATTATACTAAGAATAGTCTATCACTAAGTTTAATCTTAAATGTGTTAAGAAAATTGGTTTTGATGTATTTTGATTTTTGCTACGTGTACAACTTACTATTAATTATTTCTAATTCCTAAATAATAGGCTATCAAATTAATTATAAATACTTGTTAAGTATGTGAAGTATGAAGAGTTTTTGGATCTGACTCATTTATTTATTCTTTTATTATAAATACTCATGTAATTGTAACCCTAATTGTGTAAATAAGAATTATCATCTAATGCATCCGTGGAAGTCGGTCATTTTGACTTAACCACTTAAATTCCTTGTGTTTTTGTTATTAATTTTTGTCTTGTATTGTATTTGTGTTTCCAACGACTGGTATCAAGAGCTTAGGTTTTTTTTTTCATGCAAGTGGGAGCAATGATAGAAGATGGGAAAGTGAAGATTGAAAAATTCGATGGAAACGATTTCAAATTTTTGAAGATGTAGATTGAAGATTATCTTTATCAGAAAAAGTTGTACTAGCCTTTGTCTAAGAATAAACCAGAAACGATGTCACAGGCAGATTGTGAGTTGTTAGATCGACGGGCTTTGGGCATTGTCAGATTAACATTGGCGAAGAATGTTGCTTATAACATCATCAATGAGAAGACGACATATGGTTTGATAAAAGCATTATCAAACATGTACGAAAAGTCATCAACATCAAACAAGATATTTTTGATTCGTCAATTAGTTAATACGAAGATGCGAGAAGGTGTTAGTGTTACAGATCATGTGAGTGAATTTAATTCCTTATTGTCAAGATTAGTGTCAGTGAATATTAAATTTGATGATGAAGTATAAACCCTATTATTATTTTCTTCGTTGCCTGATAGTTGGGCAGGAATTATCACAATAGTAGCCAGTACATCTAGGACTATGAAATTAACCTTTGAAGAAATGTTGAAGAATCAACAAATTTCTTATTAAGCACCAAAGGTAGAGGTAGAAAGCCTGAAAGATGGCAAGGTTCTAGAGGGGGTAGATCAAAGTCTAAGAAGTAAAGACAGTCTAAATCCCGCAAGGATATTACTTGTTGGAATTGTCAACAGAACGAACACTTTAGGAATCAGTGTACTGCTCCTAAAGAAAATAGACATGACAATGTAATGAATGCAGCAGAAGAAGATATTGATTATGCGTTGATCTGTTATGTTGAGAGCAATTTTGAATCCTAGATCATGGATTCTGGTGCATCTTTTCATGCTTCTCCTTGTAAGGACTTGATGAAAAATTTTAGAAGTGGAAATTTTGGCAAAGTACGTCTAGCAGATGATGAAACTTTAGATATTGCAGACATGGGAGATATAAATCTTAAAACATCCACAGGTATAGTATGGACTCTGAAGGATGTCAGATATATTCCAGGACTCAAGAGAATGTTAATATTTGTGGGTATGTTGGATGTTCAAGGATATCGAGTCATATTTGAAGAAGGTCAATGAAAGGTGGTGAGTGGTAATCTAATTGTTGCTCGTGGTTAAAAGAAATTAACCATATTTAATTATCATATAAAATTAAATATATTACATACTCAATATTATTAATTAAATTTAAATTTTAGAAAATAAAGTTTATTTTATCTACCCTCTTTTTTCTTTTAAAAAATGAGTTTATAATTTTTTTAGATATCTTTAAAAATTAAACCAATTTTGTTTTTTCACATTTTAATATAGTATCATAAAATATTAAAATAACTAATTTATAAAAAAAATTACAATTTTTATGTTATAGAGATAAAATTATAAACAGAAGAAAATTTTACAATTTCTATGTTGTAAGGTGAATCCTCGAAAGAGAACAAATATGAAACGACAAAATGGGTATCTAAAGAAAAAGTTGCATTGAGAAAATTAAGAGGTGAGAGAAAAAACATAAAAATCTTAAAATAGAAAGAAGAAAGAGAAGAAAGTGGAAGTAAAAAATTGTGTAAAAGAATAAATATGATATTTATTATAAATACAAAATTAAGAGAGGAAAAGATAAAAAATTTAAGTTTATTTATATTTATAAAATATTTTTTAATTAATTTTTTTAAATAATAATAATAATAATAATAATAATAATAATAATTATATATATATATATATATATATATATATATATATATATATATATATATATATATATATATATATATATATATATATAAGTTGGTTTGGGGTTGCGGCCCTTCCCCCTTGTTAGACCCCATGTGTTTGCTTCATATTTGAGATACTATAGGTAGCCTAAATGTGTTTTAAACTAGTATCTACAAATTATTTTATTAAATTTTTAATTTATGATGTGTTTTTATATGGTTATCAAAATCGGACTGGACCAGATGATTCAACTAGTCTGGAACTCCCTAAAAATCACATTAATAATGAACTGGTAAAAAATCGGATAAATCGGTTAAAAACCAGAAAAATTGATGAAACCGGACGGGTCAAGGGGATCATTTGGGTTTTTTTTAATGGCTAAATGACATCGTTTTATCTTATATTTTCATTTTCTTTCTTTAGTTTAACATAGAGACACATGAACGTAAAGAGGGAATATTATTTTTTGTATTGGTGGTGGTATTTTTCTTACAGTCTTCCTTCTTACAAAATCAAGTTCAAACAAGTCGAATTGAATTTTGTACTAATCATTTCTTGCTCTGAGTTTGTTATTCTCTTCTCAAATCTTGATTTTACACTTTGTGATTCTAATTTTAGAAATCAAAATAGGAACCAATTGAGTCTTGATTTGATGATTAAATACAGATTACATTGAATAATATTTTGATTTAATTTGCATAACTGATTTAGTTGTTTAATTGAATCGATTAATTGTTTAAGATTGGAATAAATATTTAGATAACTATGATAAGAGGATCGTTTGGTTGTAAATTCGTAAATTGATCTTTTTTCATTTTTGAAATCAATTTTAATTTTGATTTTAGTTTCAATTGTATTTTAGAATTTCTAATATCTAAATCCTTCAATTTAACTTGTACAAAAATAAAACTATAAATTAAATTCATTTTAATAAGTGTTCTTATGAGAAGAATAATTTAGGTTTGTGTTTTATGTTACAAACTCTTTAAAGAAATTTAGAATATTTGATTTCATGAATAATGGTGAAAATCAATGACAAAAGAGTGTTGAATCCATATTAGTTTTGCACACGAGAAACACAACTAGATATGCAAGATACTAATAATCATGTGTTAGAATTACATGTTGAGATCAAGAGGGGGGTGAATTGATCTAAACATAAACTTTTCGCAACTTTCGGATATTGATTATAATTTTCAAAGATTTAAATTCTAATCAAATATTGAACCAATAATTATCAAGCAGAATGAAAGAAGGATAAGAACACCAAGATTTATACTGGTTCACCCAAACCACTAGGTTATATCCAATTCTTAACCAAATTCCAATTGAGTTCCACTAATCAGAATATGTTTGATTATAGAAACAGATTGCAAACACATAATCTACACCAAAAATTAAGACCAAGTTCTTTGAACCTTGACCATAACCAAATTTCAGTTGGTAAACCAGTGTTCACACTTCCAGACACCAAGAATACAAATAATCAACAGATATTTGAAAGATTAGAAGAAACTAGAACAATCAAACCAGTATGCAAATGCAAGATTCCAGCTACAGAATGAGTTTCTTCAAAAACCAAGAACAAAGAGCCTCAAGAAAGATTTCTGAAGAATTCGTATGGAAAGAGCGCACTTCTCACTTGAAAAAGATTTCTAAAGGTTGTTTGATTGATTTCTCAAAGATATATTTTGAAATGTTGAAGAAAATCTATTTATATAGAGATTTTTTTAACTAACTAATTCAATTAATCGATTAATTCTCTTTTTAATCTACCCTATTTATATGATGTTTTGGGTTAGTCTATCCAGTAATTATAAAATACCCTAACTAGCTCCCAAACTATAAAATAGTCATTTTTGTATTAAAATATAATTATTGAGCTCAAATAACGTGTCTTGTTAGCAACGTTGCTAAAGTTGTAATCTATTCACAATGTTGAGTCGTGCAATGAGCCAAAGTCATGACACGAGGTAATAGAGGAAGGTTTTGTTGGAGTCATTTGGCAACAAGAGGTAAATCACTTAGATTGCAAGTATTATGTGGGTTCATCATATTCAACTCATTTAACCCATGGATCACATATAGGCTAAATGCAATTTCATCCTCGACCTTCATAGTTTTTATTTTTTTTTTTCCAAAATTAAACTCTATTTTATCCTTATACTTATCATTTATCTTCATAATGTTAGATTGCATATATCTAGAAGTATGTTTCAGACCCACTAATCCATAATATATTTTTGGAAAATCAATTCTAAAAATATATTTCGGAACCAACTTATGTTTCCATTTTTTTTTTCTGGAACGTATTTATGGGTTGACTTTTTTGTAATATATTTTTGGAAAAGTCAATCCAAAAATATATTCTTAAAAAAATTCTTGGAATTCTGATTTTTTGTTTGAAATACCTTCTGATTTGGGTGTTACAAATTCACAAAATTGTTTTAAATCGAGTAATTTGGGTCTCAATATATAATAGATACGTAATATTAACGATTATTCACCTTTTAAGTGTTGAAAATAATCTTGAATAAAGGTGATGACACAAGAAACTATATCCGCATATCTATGAAGGTGTAAAGGATGAGCAATAAAAGTATATAACTTTTATAGAAAAATAGAACAAGGGCTTAAGGTAGGAAACAAAAATTATTGAAAAGATATTTTAATTATTTTATTTAGAATATGGAGGTGTTGATTCAGGAAGAAACGGCGGAGGTGCAGAAAGAAAATACCTACAAAATCTCATCCCCAAACATGTTCAAAGCTAAAAAATTATTATGATAAGTTTAAGTTTTAAGTTTAACTAGAGACTAATAGTGAAGAGCTTAGTTCTCCCACTAATATACTAGTTTTGAAGGTGAATTCTCTCAGGATCGATCTAAAGAATATATTTTAATAGGTTTAATAAAAAAAATTGTAAATATATTTAAATATTTTATATTTAATTTGAATAAAATAATAAAATATATTAAGAGATATTTATAAATTATCTTTTTAATTATTTTAATTAATTAAACATCATATATAATCTTAATTTATACATCTTAATCATGATGAAATTTTCTTATTTAAAAATGGTAAAACACCAATATACTATTATTTTGTTTGTGTTTATTTGTTAAATAATTTTTTAGAAAATAAATTAAGAAGATTTTTATTTTATGTATTTCTTTAATCTGTTTTTTCTAATAAATAGTCTTTTCCTTAATTTATATATATAACATAAAGATTATAATTTAGGGTTAGGAAATCTTATGTAGGATGTTTGACGATGAAAATATTGAAGAAATAAATTAGGTTAAACCATAAAATAAATAATTATTTTTGTTAAAATAAAAATAATATTATTCTATTAATATATATATTATAAATTAATTTTAAAAATAAGTTTTTAATTTTTAATTTTATTTAATAAATTTTAATTAATTATTATTTATTTTCAATCATATTAAAATTCATCTAGCGTGATATTAAAAAAATAAAATAAAATATATTTTAAAATATAGATCATATTACAGAATATAATCAATTTTTTTTATTTATCCCTTCAATCTAAATTAGATGCAAGCAAATAACTCTAAGTTTTATATCGTAATCTAGTATTAAACATTAAATAAAAATAATTGAATTATTTTTTTAAAATTAATTATAAAATATTTAAAATATATTTACATTATATTGAATATGAGTAAATAAAATATAATCTCAATTAATTAAAGAATATTTTGGATTTGAAATGAAATTAGTTAACAAATATTATATTTACCTGCGATCGTGTTTCCATGGTGTTATTTTATTTTAATACAATTAAATTTTATATTTATATTTATTTTATTTTATTTTATATGACTTTGTTTTATATTATAATGATATATAGTAATTATTTTTTTAGAAACAATAGTTTCTCTCTAATCATTATCCTTTATATAATACTTTTAAACTATTATTAAAATAAAATAGGAAAAATGGTACTCTAAATATTATTATAAATATTTATCGATATATATATATATATATATATATATATATATATATATATATATATATATATATATATATATATAAATAAATACATATAAGACAAAATATTGAGTACTCAGTAAGCACTATAGTAACCTAACGGAATCCGTTCCTTAAATAATTCTCTATGACAAAAAAACCAACCTGAAAGACTTTTACCCTTTCCTACGTTATTTTCCTTTTTTTTTTTTTTTTGGTTACCTTCATCCTCTGTTTTGCTCTTGCATGAATTTTCAAAGCTTCAGGGTTTATGGCCTCTCTCACTCTATATATCTTTCACTTGCAACCCTTTTCCCTTATTTCCCATATAAACTCTTCACGCACAGACACACTTGTGTTCATCAAACTCAAATAAGACCCTGAGACTCTTATTTGCCTTTTTGCCACTTTCCAACGCAGGCTTAAAGCTGGGGAGGCTTGTGGGTGTGATTGCCGCCATGGGGGTCTCTTCTCAGACCACCCCTTTATATTGCCCCTCTTGTTCCCGCCACTTCCGTGCTGCTCTCTCTTCATTGTCCCTGTTGGCTCCTTCTCAATCACCACACCCCAGGTTGTTTTTCCTTCAAAGTTTTCATCTTTTCACCATTGGGTGTCGATTTCACCTTGCCTTTGTCCTGGAATCCTGAAAATGTCTTTGTGGTGGTGTTAAGTTGTTTTGTGGTAGGTGTGTGCGCAGTGTGGTTTGTTGTTAGATGGTTTGGAGAATTTGCTTTGCTGTTGTAGAGTAACGTTCAGCTGAACTGTCTTGTGTTTTGCTGGTTTTGGTTTTTCTTTGTGTTTGAACTTTTGATATGGGGAATAGTGGTTTCATGGGATTAAGTTTGAAGCGTTTGTTATGGTTCTGTTTCTTGTTTCTGGTTTCTGTTGAGTCTTAATTTCTACTGGTGTTTCTGGTGGGAGGGGTGAGGGAGGTATTGAGTAAAGGTGTAGGAACAGTTTGATTTAATTGTGAAAGGATTTTGTGGAGTGTATTTGACTGTCTGTGTGTGTTTAGAAGATGGATTTTAAAGCATTTTGGTCATGATCTGATAAGGGGTTTTCTACTAATGTTGTAAATTGTGACTTTGTAACTGTGAATGTTCAGTTTATGGATGGTTCTAGTATTGCCAAGGTTTTCACTTTGAAGGATATATAGATTTGAACAAAAATAAAAGGAAAATAGGAAACTTAAAGGGTTTATGCAGATTGTTGGACTGCACACCAGAAAAGGGACGTGGGCGTCACTATGCAAATTTCACCCAGGGTTACTTTTTTTTTTATTAAAGTTTTCAAATATTTTAGTTACTAAGCTATCAACTCGTGATAAAAAGTTAAGATTAAAATAAAAAAAATCATCATTAAATGGCAAGTTACTAAAAAGTGAATCTAAATCATGAAGGAGTCTGCCAATGATATCAAGGTTCTATGGTCTTTGTACTATTTTCTCTTCTGCACATTTTTGGATTTGGAATTCAATATCTTGCATGATTGATCTAACGAACAGTAAGCTGAAATTATTTGTTTTTAAGTGTTGGCTTTCATAGTGTAAAGGTTCTTTTACTTCCTTGGTTTGATATCAGTGATCAACTCCATAATGTTTACACAACCTCATATAAAGTATTGCTATACTATTAGTAGTTACAAACAATTACAGGTTAAATATGCAAAGCTGGCAACTGCATATTATCATGGGATTAGCTATATGTAAATGTGGAGATTTCCACATGATATACTGGATAATGGAATTTTTTTAATATTATTTGTGACATTTCAATGGTCAAAATATGTATGGTATTATTAGCTTACGCCTATGGGAGTTTTTTTCTTGATTGTTCTTGTACTGTATCTTCTTCATGCTAAACTGAAATATTAAACATGCTATTAAATTCCATTGATTGGTACCTTTCTAATTTTTTTTTCTTTTAACTTTGTTGCATGATATGACCTGCAGAAGAAAAATCCAGTCAATCCTGATTGCCAACAATATCCTTCAACATAGTGCATTGTCTTTCAGAAAAGGTCCATCCTGTCTAAAGAGATCACCTTTTGGGCTGAATAAACGTAAGGATGTGGAGTATAGCCATAAATCTCCTGTATATATTTCAGTTAAGAAATTTTCGGACATGTCATATGGCATGTTGGAGGAAAGGAGATATGAAGAAGAGTTGGGTTCTTTACATTCCTCTAATAGTCAAGTTAAGATTATGGGTTTGGCTCAATTTCCCACAACCCCTGCTATACAATGCTGGGTCGAGGAACGTAATAAATTATGTAAAAGTAAAAATGAAATATGCTCACTGAATAAGTTCAGGGTTGCATCTAATGCAGTTACTTCCACATGTTGGGAACAAACTGTTTCTAGCACTGTGGAGCACACTCATGTGCAGCCGGATCTATATGAACCTGCCTTGCCTTCTGGTAAACATTCTAAATTAAACAACTCAAAGGAGTTGACAGACACCAAAAGGGTGGACACCCAGTTAAAGTTACCTCCATCAGAAATCCCTAAGGAGATAGTTGATAGAGTTAATGACAATTGCAATTTGGATACAACTACAAAGGATGCAACTAATGCAACATCTGTTAAAAAGGCATGTAGTTTTGAACAAGCAAAACTCCGAGGCAGGCTTTGTAGTATATATGAAGACATATTAGTTGTTAGTAATATTTCTCTTGCTGAGGAAGTTGCTAAGATGCTTACAGTAAATTACAGGCATCTTGTTCATGCGTGTGATACCGAGGTACAATTCTTTACTGTTTTAGCATGTATTATGCCCTTTCCTTGATTGCAATGGTGTACATATCTAGATTTTTTTTCAAATACTAAAACATACTCTATTTGCATACTCTGAACACAAGTTCAATGAATTTTTCCTTTTTAAATCGTACACATTGAAGTGAGATATTGTATTGTTGAGCCATTTCTTCAATTGAGTGTATATTAGCTGTTGTTTCAGTATATATGTCATGGATATTTCATAAATGTTGAAATGTAATATACCAACTTTTCATGTGGTCGAAGGTGGCCAAGATAGATGTCAAACAAGAAACACCTGTAGATCATGGGGAGATGATATGCTTCAGTATTTATTCGGGTCCAGAAGCTGATTTTGGAGGTGGAAAGTCATGTATTTGGGTAGATGTTCTTGATGGTGGAGGGAAAGAGATCTTAAATAAGTTTGCTGAATTTTTTCAAGATTCATCCATTAAAAAGGTAACCTTCTCTTACATCTGATCCTTTTTCTGCTTTAAATCCTATCACTCCTCTTGATGTGTTCCTCTTAAGTTTTGTTTGGCTTAAATTTTACTAAAATTGATTTTTGAAGGATCAATGTTAAATGATATCTTATTTATGTTTGGGAATAATATTCTAAAAGTTTAGTAGAATTGATTTTGTTTGAATGGTAGAGTGGAATCACTTTGGAAGTGCAAACGCAGGTATTTTTTAAAAATGTTGCTAGATTAAAACCTAGAATAAAGTCTATTCAATGAAAAAGTAAAAACATTTTACATTCAAAATCATTTATTCTTATGCTATAAAAAAAACAGCTGAAATTTTCTCTGAAACTAAAAGCAGTAGCTTCTAAAAAAATAAAATAATATTTGTATAAATTATTCTTTAAAAAACTCATCCAATCGCATAATCTAACTTCATAAACTCATATTGACTTCATATTACTTTTGGTTCGGTGACGTAGGATTCACAATAAATTTTGAATAACCAAGTCGCTGATGCATTCTGTAGGTCTGGCATAACTACAGTTTTGACTGTCATGTTATAGAAAACTATGGATTTAAGGTTTCTGGATTTCATGCTGATACAATGCACATGGCACGGCTGTGGGATTCATCCAGGCGTTGGGTTGGTGGTTATTCTCTTGAAGGACTTACAGGTGATAAAGAGGTAATGTCTAGGGCTAAGATGGACCATGAAAAGGATTTGATTGGTAAGGTATCCATGACAACTATATTTGGCCAGAAAAAGGTAAAGATAGATGGATCTGAGGGTAAAATGACCACCATTGCTCCTGTTGATGTGCTGCAAAGAGATGAGCGAATACCGTGGATATGTTACTCTGTCTTTGATGCTAGAAGCACTCTAAAGCTTTATGAGAGCCTGAAGAGTCATCTTTCAGATATGCCTTGGAATCTTGATGGAGTACCTGTTTTTCACAAAAACATGTATGATTTCTACCAGGAATATTTGCAGCCATTTGGTAAACTTCTAGTCAAAATGGAATCTGAGGGAATGCTAGTTGATCGGTTATATCTCAAAGACATAGAAAACATGGCCAAAGCAGAGCAAGAGGCAGCTGTTAATAGATTCCGAAAATGGGCATCTAGATATTGTCCTGATGCCAACTATATGAATGTCGGAAGTGATGCACAATTGCGTGTACTGCTCTTTGGTGGTGCCATGAACAGGTGCACGTTATTCAAATCTTGTGTATCGAGCATGATTCTACCTTTATACATTCATAATTTTGAAGTTGTAATAGATACGGTGAATGATATCATGCAATCTGAGCTATACTCAAATATGCTTTTTTAAAAATAATAGATATTCATTATATTGATATCATTATAGTTTATCAAGCACCCTTTTCTTAAAAAGATTGGCTGTTATATGAAGTCTTGTGTTGTTATTATTAACTGCTTATATATATGGTAAGTTGATTTTTGGATTTAAAGACCTTTGTGATGTTATACTGAAGCTCCTGTCTGTTTTGTTTTAATGACTTAAGACTACTTTATCTACTTTATGAAATATGCAGTAAAGTCTAATTTGATACTTGTCATCATTTTGCTTCATTCTAGACCTGTGATGGCCCTATCCTTTTGTTGTATTCTCTTCATCGCTATAAAGTAATCCATAGGATAAAATTAGTTCTTAAGTCTGAGTTTTACTGTTCAACTGAAATTTCAAGATACTTTCATCAATACTATTTTGCTCAATATAATATCAGCAGTCAGAATTTTATAGTTTTTTTCATTGTTAAAGGCTATGTTTTTTTATTCTTTTTTTATATATGAAAGTCCTTATTTCAATGTATCCATGATAGTTATCCCTTTCTTTGATATTTTTGTATGTTCTAGCTGAGCAAATTAAAGGGAATAAAGTTACTACTCCATATATGAAACATTTTTCTCTACTGATTTTGATGAAGTTGTTGAAGTATATAGATGAAAGTAAAGCTTTCGTTTCTCTTGCTACATTATTTGCTACAGAAAAAATCCTGATGAGGCACTTCCAACTGAGCGGATTTTCAAAGTTCCCAATGTTGATAAAGTGATTGTAGAAGGCAAGAAGGTTCCCACAAAATTTCGTGATATTAAGCTGAATAGCATTGGATACAACCTGAATGTTGAGATGTACACACCAAGTGGTTGGCCCTCAGTTAGTGGTGATGCTTTGAAAGTCCTGGCTGGCAAAGTCTCTGCTGAATATGACTTTGATGAGGCTTGTCGTGAAGTGGATCTTGATGAGGAAGATAGAAATCCATCTCAAAGTGAAGTTTTACCTGCAGAAGTAGATAAATCTGCTTATGGAACAGCTTTTTCTCGTTTTCCAACAGAGGAAGAGGGGAGAGAGGCTTGTCATGCCATTGCTGCTTTATGTGAAGTCTGTTCAATCGATTCTTTAATCTCTAACTTCATCGTTCCCCTGCAGGTAATTATTCCTTTTGAATATCCTTGTCTGGTTGTGTTTATTAATTTTCATATTACCCTATAAACTTTGCTTACCCACTACCCAGTGTGATTGGCATCACTAGTGTTGATTGTGCCAATAAACAGTGGGCTAGTTTTTATTTATGTGTGCTAGAGGAAGAGAGAGGATGGAATTTGAGATCACTTGCTTAATCCAAAGCCTGCATTAACTTAAAAGGGTGATGTTGGTATATTATAGATTGTGTATGTATTCAATTATGTAGTTTATGTGTGTATACTCTTTGTTAGTTTAATCTGTTCTCAATGGCAGGGGCGTAATATATCAGGAGAGGATCATCGCATTCATTGTTCCATAAATATTAACACAGAGACTGGACGCTTGTCAGCAAGAAGGCCAAATCTGCAGGTTCTTCTAACTTTCAAGTCTTATTAGCTGTTGAATTACTTGTATTTTTTAAATGCCATATTTTTCAATCCTTCTTCCATGTATATATTTATTTTATTTATTGACAACGATGGTTAATTCTATCTTTTTATGTTTGTATGATATAAAGCCATTTATGTGGCTTCACTTAATAACCTATGCATTAGGAGAGTTGGTTTTTTATATTGTTGAATATAGAAAAAATAGGGTTTGGAATTAATTTCCCTTGTGTATAAATCACACATAGGGTGGTCTATTTATAGTAGAGAGATACAACTAAAAGAGTAACTGAAAGTAACAGAATAAACAGAAGATATTGTTTGATATTGTGGTTACCAATATCTTAACAATATCAAATAATATCTAAACAATATCTAACACTCCCCCTCAAGCTGGAGCATACAAATCGTATGTGCCAAGCTTGTTACAAATATAATCAATTCTAGGACCTCGTAAAGATTTAGTAAAAATATCTCGCTAACTGATCACTTGAGTTAACAAACTCGGTCTTGATATCTCTAGACATAATCTTTTCTCGAATAAAATGACAGATCAATCTCAATGTGTTTGGTCCTCTCATGAAAGACAGGATTAGAACTAATATGAAGAAGCAGCTGATTGTCACACACAAGTGTCATTTGAGTGACATCTCCAAATTGTAACTCTCTAAGCAATTGCTTTAGCCAAACAAGTTCACAGGAAGCTGAGGCCATAGCTCTATATTCGCTTCGCACCTGGATCTTGCCACAACACTTTGTTTCTTACTTTTCCATGAGATCAAGTTACCACCAATGGAGACACAATATCCGGATGTAGATCTTCTATCCGAAGGAGATCCTGCCCAATCGAGCATCTCGAGTAACAAACAACTCTTGTATGGTTATAAGAACCATATAACAATCCTTTTCCAGGAGATCCTTTAATATACTTCAAGATACGAATGACTCGCATTCCAATGATCTTCACATGGTGAATTAAGAAATTGACTTACCACACTAACTGCAAAGGAAATATCGGGACGAGTAACTCGTAAGATAATTCAATTTTCCAACCAATCTTCTATACTGCTCAGGATTAGATATAGGCTCCCCCTGATTTGGTAGAAGTTTAGTATTGGGATCCATGGGTGTATCAACGAGACTTTGAACTCATCAACCCAGTTTCCTCCAAAATATCTATGGCATACTTCCTCCGAGATATAACAATATCATCATTGGACTGTGCCACCTCAATACCCAAGAAATATCTAAGTTTGCCAAGATCTTTGGTCTGAAAATGGTGACAGAGATGTTGTTTCAACTGAGAGATGCCATGGTTGTCACTACCTGTAAGAACAATGTCATCAACATATACTATCAAGTAAACACATCTAGCACTCGAGTGTCGATAAAAGACAGAATGATCTGATTCACACCGAGTCATACCAAATTGTTAAACAACCTTGCTAAACTTTCCAAACCAAGCCCTAGGAGACTGTTTTAGGCCATATAGGGATTTGCGAAGACGACATACCATCCCAGAAAACTCCCCTGAGCAACAAACCCAGGAGGTTGCTCCATATATATTTCTTCTTGCAAATCACCATTGAGGAAAACATTTTTAACATCCAGTTGATAAAGAGGTCATTGTTGAAGAGCAGCCATGGCGATAAATAAACGAACAGAAGCCATCTTTGCCACAGGAGAAAAGGTATCTCCATAATCCAACCCAAAAATTTGAGTATAACCTTTGGCCACAAGACGAGCTTTGAGGCGATCAATAGTACCATCAGGTCCAACTTTGATAGCAAACACCCACCTGCAACCAACAACAGATCTCCCAGACGGTAACGGGACCAATTCCCAAGTTCCACTATTATGAAGAGCACTTAGTTCATCTAACATGGCCTGTCGTCAACCAGGATGGGCTAAAGCTTCACGGACAGTTTTTGGAATGGTCACAGAAGAAATAGAGGAAAGACATGTATAAAAAGGTAATGACAGTCGATGATAACTCAAAGCAATATAATGGGGAGAGGGATTACGTGTAGAACGAATACCTTTTCGGAGGGAAATGGGAAGGTCAGACTCATGTGTCAGATCCGGAGGAGACAGAGTAGTTGTCACTTGAGTAGAGTCACATGGTGGTGGTTGTGATTGGTTTCGAGAACTATAAATCTGAAGAGGCAGTGGAGAAGAAGCTGACTGCGGAGCAGGAACTAATGGTGAAGAAGACACAGTTAGAGGGTCACAAACAATAGGAACATTAAATGTATTAGGAGTGTTGACAAGATTGGATGGAGACAGAGGTGAAATTTGACTTTTAAAATAAAGAGACAACTCATCAAATGTGACATCTTTTGACACAAAATAACGGTTAAGAGAAGGAGAAAAACATTTGTATCCTTTTTGTGATCTTGTAAACCCTAAGAAAACACATTTATGTGATCTAGGAGAAAGTTTGTCCAGACCAGAACTGAAATTATGAACAAAACATGTAGACCCGAAAACTTTTAAAGGTAAAGGATGAAGTGGTTCATGAGGGAATAAAATGGAATGAGGTATTTTATTATCTAAAACCGAAGAAGACATGCGATTAATGAGATAACATGCAGTAAGAAGAGCATCACCCCAAAAATGTTGAGGAACATCTCCATGAATTAAAAGTGTGCGAGTTGTTTCAATAAGATGTCTATTTTTACGTTCAGCTACACCATTTTGTTGAGGTGTATAAGCACAAGAAGTTTGATGCAAAATACCGTGAGAAGCCATGAATTGTTTAAAAGAATGAGAAAGATATTCACGGCCATTATCACTACGCAAAACTCTAATAGAAACACCGAACTGGTTTTGAATTTCATTAAAAAAAGTTTGAAAGATATGAAATAATTCAGAACGATTTTTCATCAAAAATAACCAAGTGCATCTGGAATAATCATCAATGAAAGTAACAAAGTAATGAAAACCTAAAGTAGACTTAACGCGGCTAGGTCCCCAAATGTCAGAGTGAACCACGGCAAAAGGGGACGAAGCACCACGTGTGAAACTACGAGGAAAGGAAGTATGACTATGCTTGCCTAATTGACATGACTCACACGCCAAACTAGATAAGTTGGACAAGGCAGGGACAAGTTTCTGTAACTTGGCAAGACTTGGATGACCTAACTGAGCATGAAGAAGAGAGGGAGACTCCATAAGCTGTACTAACATGTGTAGAGGGACTGGAGATAATAAAGACCATGAGACTCACATCCTGTGCCAATCACCTGTTTCGAACTCCGGTCCCGTAAACACACGAATTGTTGGTAAAAGTAACAACACAATCAAGAGAACGAGTTAGACGACTGATGGACAACGAGGTTAAAAGGAGACTCGGGGACATAAAGAACATTATCAATGGTTAAAGAAGGAAAAAGTTTAACCGTTCCAACACCATGAGATGATACTCTAGAGCCATCGACCAATGGTAATGAAGGTAAATGATTAGGAGAGGATAAAGAGGAGAACAAAGATTTGTTACCAGTAATATGATCAGGGACTCCTGAATCAAAAACCCAAGGACCAGGAGAAAATGATTGGGTCAGACTAGCAAAATATGTATTTGTATGTGTGACAGATATAGTGGAACTAGAATACTGTTGATCCTTATACCATTCGAGAAATTTGTTGAACATAGCAGACATGTCGGATGCAACAGAAGAAGGAAGATCCCCTACAGATAAAGGTGGGGAAAGATTTGTCTGAACAACTACAGCAGACTGAGGAGGACAACCATGTAATGTATAACACTTGTTAATCTTGTGACCTAGCTTGCCACAATGTTCACACTTAGGACGCCCTTTTTCCTGTTTGCGAGGGCAAGTCCGGTCATCACGATGGGATGTCAACACAAAAGAATCGTTAACAAAATTGGAAATAGTGGAAGAAGTCATGAAGAGCGGGAGAACAAACCCTAAAACAATCCAAAGTAATCCAATTAACCCACGAAGCACAAATCCAAAATGAGAATACTAAAAATAAGTTCACCAAGACTAAATGGTGCAGGAGACAATGGGACGACCAACTCCGATAGTGGTGATCTCAATGGCACGGTGGTCACTTGACCGAGACAAGCAAAATCATGTCACCGGTAAAAAAAAAATGAAACTCCGGCGAATTCTCCGACAGCGGTGGACCCGGTGAGTGCTCCAGCGGCAGCGGTGACAGTAACGTGAACTAGTACACCAGGTAAGTTCCCAGGAAAGAGAGGTGAGTCACTAATGGACACACTTAAATACCAAGTCTTTCCTTGCCAGAACTTTCCTAAACATGCACTTTCACACTACCAAATAAAATTCAATGACAAAGATAATTCTTTTCTGATGTGGAGGATTAGTTTACCAGCAGCGGTGGGGCGGCTCTAGCAGTGGTGGGGCGGCTCTAGCAGCGGTGGGGCGACTCCAACAGTGGACAAAAGGTGGAAAAAAAAATTCAAGATAACCTTAAGCTCTAGATACCATGTTGAATATAGAAAAAATAGGGTTTGGAATTAATTTCTCTTGTGTATAAATCACACATAGGGTGGTCTATTTATAATAGAGAGATACAACTAAAAGAGTAACTGAAAATAACAGAATAAACAAAAGATATTGTTTGATATTGTGGTTACCAATATCTTAACAATATCAAATAATATCTAAACAATATCTAACATATATGATATCAAAGCGTCTATGACAAAGTAGTTAGGAGTTTGATTATTGTTACTCCCATTCTTCTTAAAACAATTTATTTTTTAGCACAGGGTACATGGTTGATTTGTGCATTGTTCATGCTTCAAGCTCAAACCACTTAAGATGACAAGCCAAGTTGAATATAATCCTCACCTAATAGTTTTAGCTTTCAGAACAGTTGGTTCTTGAGAATGCTAACTTCTTACTGTAGTAATAGGACAACTTATTATTGATAAAAGACTAAAAATCCAGACAGCTATCTATTATTAGTGAGATGAAATCAAATGTTAATTTAAGCTTATTAAACATGTGCAAAATTTTGCAGTTTGCTCTTACTTCATGACCTGTCTCATTTTAGTAAAAATTCTTTTATCCTCCCTGCATATTGTACATTATCTTGTTTATTCTGCATTTTGTTATGAATAAATAGTTCCAAAAGCTTAACCAATTTGGTGAAAATAAATAAATGGTACGTGCCCCTCACACAAGGGACATTTGTGCCTGAAGTGTGAAAAAGGCACAAGCCTACTTATGCTGAAATTCAACATTTTTATTAGAAGAATGGGAGTGGCAGGAATCTACCTCTAGACCGCTTGGTCATTGAGGCCCTAACAGTATCATTGAAAAAGAAAAGTCAACTCATTAAACTCATTTTTCATTTGCATTAACCATTTACACTGCATTGTGAATATAATTTTTTAATTTGAACTTTGAAATTCAAATATGGGTATTGCTAGAATAGATAAATCATTGGATTTTAAATTTACAGATTTAATCTAACATATGTAATTCATAAACTAGAATCAACCTGCATTGGAAAAGGACCGGTACAAAATCCGTCAAGCATTCATAGCTGCTCCAGGGAATTCTCTTATAGTTGCTGATTATGGACAGGTTAGCTATTTACTTATCTAATTGAACTTGTTGCAAGAAATTTCATTCTGTTGATGGAGTTACATATTGTTGCAGTTGGAACTTAGGATTCTTGCACATCTTGCTAAATGTAAGAGCATGTTGGAAGCCTTTGAAGCTGGTGGAGATTTTCATTCAAGAACTGCAATGAAGATGTACCCATATATCCGTGAAGCAGTTGAGAGAAAGGAGGTGCTTCTTGAGTGGCATCCTCAGCCTGGTGAAGACAAACCCCCAGTTCCTCTACTGAAGGTAAATTGTTAATAGTCTTCTGATCTATTTTTAGTAGAACATAGAAAAGACTAAAAATCCATACAGCTATCTAATGCACTTAGGTCATTTTTTATATATCACATAATAAAAAGCATTTTGCACTTCTCATGGGTGTTAGTGTCTGTTAGTGTAATAGTTGTTAAGGTCTGCCAGTGTGCTCATAACTGTGGCATACATTGAGATGGGTACGGTGTTAACAAGGTCAGAGATTGGATACAGTTTAGGAAATAGTCTCGTCTAAGTCTATTAAGAGACTAATGTATTCATGATATGCAGAACCAGTGTTGCAAGATCCTGAATAAGAAAGTTGTTCCATTCTCTAAAGATTATGTTTTCTCTCTCTTAATCGTCAGCTCAATTCAACAGTAAGATGATTTTTTTAAAATACAAGGTATTTAATCAGGTATTTTGTTCTTCAAGGTTTAGTTCAATCCTACAAAACTTGTTTCTATATGCCATTCAAGCTTTTTGTAAGCCCTATTTAAGCAACATCTCTCTAGTAGATGTAGGATTAAATCACCAACCTTGAGGCTGCAACTAAGGCAGCCCAAAGAGGCCCATCTAAGGCACCCCTAAAACAATTTAGAAATAATTGCATTGTGCATGCAGCATGATTAAACATAGTTATGGGTGAATCAGGAATAAAAATGAATCCCGCCCCTCCCCCCCAGAAAGGGGAAAACGGTTTCTATGTATTGGCTGCCACCTTTTGTATCACAGTTATCAAGAAAATTTATTGATGAAGGAAATAAATTCTCTCATAGCACAATATTATTAATAATGATTTGTTGAATGTTAAACTAATGAGATGGATATTTTAAATATTAGAGCAAATACCCAGAATTCAAGAATTTATCACTACAAAGAAAGGGCAGCTACTGCTTGCATTGTTGAGAGGGAAAGCATCTGACATTGGGCACATGTGTTGGTGGTCTATATATCGTGGGGTCCCAAACATATATGCCTAAAAAATTCATCATAGTTTCGGGATGTATGAGATGCATTTAATAATTATGATTTCAAGCTTAATTAAGCTTCTTGTAGCAGCTTAGCATTATTAAATCAAACCCTTCATCCTAAAGATAGATGCCCCCTTCATTTCTACATAATAACAACTTACGAGAACATAACTACAATACATATTAAGTTTGAAATCAAGATTTAAGCAAAAATTTAATCATCTTCTCATTGATTGATCAGTGAAACAGTGTACCATTTCATACGTATTTTTGACATTTCTTTTTCATTTCAGGATGCCTTTGCTTCTGAAAGAAGGAAAGCCAAAATGCTTAACTTCTCAATTGCGTATGGAAAGACTCCAGTTGGGCTATCCAAGGATTGGAAGGTGCCTTGAATTCTGTTAACTTGTTGTGAAGAGCTTAAATAGTTTACAAGTCCCCTTGTTTGATTTGGTTGTCTGAACAAGTTACACATATTTTTCTCTCAGGTTTCAGTGAAAGAGGCTAGGAGAACAGTTGACCTTTGGTACAATGACAGAAAAGAAGTGCTGAAATGGCAAGAAGAACGTAAAAAAGAAGCTTGTGAATCCCAACGTGTTCACACATTGTTAGGGCGAGCTCGGAGGTTTCCTAAGATAGACCCAGATCACAGCTACCATAAAGGTCATATTGAGCGAGCTGCTATTAATACACCAGTCCAGGTCCTTCATTCTTTCAAATACTTTTCTACAATATTCTGCCACACTCCCTTTCTGTCTGTCACTACTCTCAAGTTTCATGGTTACTTGTAGTAAATGTAGAATGTACCAATTTGCTGATACAATCCTACCATCTAAAAAGGTGACTAGTTTTTACTAGGTGGGTCCACTATACAATCAGTTACCGCCAGGTCTCTTGGAACCTTTTTCCCGCTAAGAACAACAGTGAATGGTGAGAAAATGTTTTTACAAGAGGCTTGTGAAAACTTCATAATCCAAGGGATATATTAAAATGATAATTCATGTAAAGCTGTGAATAAAAATATATTAGAGGTTAATTGCATTGTTGTTAATTTCTTTAACAATCTTACAGAAGTACACAGATTATGTTAGTCTTGTTGGCTGTTGCTCTATTATACTAAAGAAAAAGTTTCCATGTAAAGAGTAAAATTAAAAAAAAAAAAAAATTCTCACCAGACATGCCATTGGTTGGTGTGTGTGTGGAGTTCCACTGAGTGACTTCTCCTTTCAAAATAAACCTTCATGGTAGGAAACAGTTTTGGAGTAATTGATAGTGTTTTATATTAGCAACAGATCTATATTCTTCTTCCTTCAATCTATGAAGTTTTTGATCCATCTCCACCTTCATGTCTTTCTTTTTTGGCTCTTCTGATTTGTCAAATATTACAGGGTAGTGCAGCAGATGTTACCATGTGTGCCATGTTACAAATATCCAAAAATAAGAAGTTGAAAGAGCTTGGATGGAAATTACTTCTACAGGTTAGTATTTATCTCTAGAATTTTCTCCATTTTTATTTCTGGGTTCACTTTTTGTCAAGTTCCATCCAAGTATGTTCACATGGGGTTTCTTTTCAATAATATATTTATTCACTTTTGGGAGAATAGGGCGGGGACAACAAGAATTAGTGAAATTAAAGAGACCATGAAGAGAACTTATTTCATCAACTCTGGAATATAATTTCTATCGATCAATGAAATAAGTGCCTGTTTCTGTTATTGTTGCATGTATTGCCAAAGCAAGCCCTTTGATACTTCCTTGTTCAATTGCATTAAAATTCGTTATTCCAATCTTTTAATGTTAGCTAAGATACGTTGGCTATGGTCAATCAGGTTCATGATGAAGTCATATTGGAAGGACCAACAGAATCAGCCGAGGTTGCAAAGGCCATAGTTGTTGAGTGCATGTCAAAACCTTTCAACGGCAGCAATTTTCTTAAGGTCGGCCTCACCGTTGAAGCCAAGTGTGCTCAAAACTGGTATGCCGCAAAATAGATGGCTGATATACAATATGAAAGGTGATGAATTGGTGTGGTGGGCTTTTCTTGACAGCATGGTTCTTTTGGTAACTGTAAAACAGAAGATGCTACTGCTTTGGTAGTTCTTTTTCCATGTCCAAGGAATTGCCCTTCAGTTTATGCTTCTTCATGTAGGCCCTTGATGTTCCGGGATGAGTAATTCCATTGTGAAGTTTTATTGTGCATAGCATTTCTGTCTTTGAAAGAAGAAGCTAAGAGGCAAAGCCATGTTGTTAGCAATTTGGCTGCATCTGTTTTCTGTTTATTCTGCTTCTGCCTTCGGTTTTTGGTGTGTACATACACTATTATCATGTCTTACAACATGTAACGTTATTGTCCCTTGGCTTAATGCAACTGTATCATTTTGTATTGTATATACAAAACGAAATTTGCAAAATTTCTATTCTATTCCATTTACACCATGCAGCAACAAGTTTTAGGTAAAAATTTTGATGTAGGATTTTAAGGGTGGCTTTATATTTCGTCCCTAAATCCTTAATTTCACTCTTTTATTTTAACTTAAATTTTTTGAAAACCAAAATCTTGCTTAATAATGAAAGTGATAGAATTTGCTCATAACTTTTCGTTTACTATAAGGGTTTTAAGGAAATTTAATTCATTTAACCAAAATGGTTATGAAATTGTAATAAAAAGAGAAAAGTGTAAAGTCTTAGATTTGGTTGAAATAAAATAATATGTAAATATAAAAATTAAATTAAATTTACGGACTTTGTGAAAGAGATAAATGATTAAAATATTGAAAATATAGATTAAAAATGAAAATTATTTTTAAATCAATTGATTTAAATAGTTTCTATAATAAATTGATAGATTCTTTTTCTTAATAATATTTTTAATCTTTTCATTTCAATATCATTCCATTGGTAATAATTTATTATTTTATTTTTATTTTAAAAAAATACAATTTAAATGGTTTTATTTTTCTATTTAGCAAAAATTAAAAATAAAAATAAAAAGATAATTTTTCTATCAAAATATTTAATTATAAACAATATTATCTAATCTTTTAAAAAAATATTAAAAAAAAATAAAAAATGTTAAGACTTTCTTTTTATCATAATAAAAATAATGGATTAGGATATATAAAGAATGGATTTTGACAAATATCTTCTCGATAATAAAAAATATATATTTATTTTATCTCGTTAATATTTTTTCTTGAACTCTCCACTCTTTTTACATGCTTCATTACTTCACTCTCACTTTTTTTCCTTCCTTCTCCGGTTATTTGTTTGGTCCCTTGCTCACACACTATCTCTCTCTTATTTGTTGTGGATGCTACCAAGATCACTCTCAATTCCACCATCGATATCGCTGTCATGGCTATTATTGTTGTTACTCTCTCATGATAGTTGTTATTGTCATTGTCATTATCGTAGGTCTATTGTCGTTGTCGCTTTCATTTTGGTGTCGTTGTCGTTCTCATTGTCATTGTCTCTCCCCTTACTACTATTTTTGTCGCTCCTACTATAATTCCCATTGTTGTTGTTTATTACTATGTGTGCTCATTCTTACAAATTTGTTTCTCATTTTTTCGATATAGATTTAATTTTTATTTATGACTATTATTTGATATGATGAGAATTCAAATAAAAAAACATAATTTTTTATAACATAATTTTTTATAACATAATTTTTTATTCCATGTTTAAGCACATTATATGAAGTTTTAAAAATATCAATGTGTGTGTGCGTGCGTGTGTGCACGTGTGCGTGTGTGTGCGTGCGTGTGTGTGTGCGCGTGTGTGCGTGCATGTACATGTGCGTGTGTGTGCGTGCGCGTGCGTGCATGTACATGTGCGTGTGTGTGTGCGTGTGCGTGCGTGCGTGTGTGTGTGTCCGTGTGTGCGTGTGTGTGTGCGTGCGCGCGCATGCGTGTGTGTTGATGATTTGCCTAATTGAAAAAAAAAATGTATTTCTATTAATTTAAGAAATTTTAATTAAAGGAAGAAATTTAATAAGAAAAAAAAAATCTAAGTGAAACATGTTGCTAAATAACTGAAGGAAATATTTAAGGGTAGAAATATATTGTTGAATTTGGGACCATTTGACTTGTGTTGGATAATAGTAACTTGGAGTTTTCAAACTTTCCGAATTTGCATTGTGTAGGAAATATTCATGATGTTAAAACTTTTGTTAGTATTATGACAATTGATAAATTTATTATTCATGATGTTTTATATTTGTCTACACATATTATTTATTTTAACTTTAAGTTAATGTTTGTTTTGTCAAAATCACATTTCTCCTTTGCAAACGAGAATTCTTTAGCTATACCATCATAAATTCTAACATATTAGATGTTTAAGTTTGTTCATCTTGCATTAGATTGCTCTTTTGTAGGTATTTTTTACTTCTTCATATGCCAAACATTGAGTTTCTATTGCTCCCTTGCCTTTTAGAAGAGAAATTATGGATCTTTATGATTTCAATTAGTAAATTCAAATATTAGATATTTGGGTTGGTATTTGACATATGGTTGTTTGTTGTGTGCATCTTCTTGACCCTTAATAATCAAAAGGAGTATATACTTTTATATGGCTTATATGGCATTGATGGTTAGATGATACTCATACTCTATCATGAAATAGTGTTATGCATGTGTTGGACGTTTACTTAATGTCATGATAGTAAAATATTATATAATATATGTATACTATGAAAAATTCAACATAGAAAGCTATAATGACCCAAAGATAATATGAACATAAGCAAATTAGGTTTATCTTGAAATTCATATTGATTTGAGTGATAAAAGTTATTCAAATGACTATAGAGAACATAACTTTCGACTTCCATGTCTCAACATACTATCAAGATATGAAGTTTTGAAAACTTGAATATACATGCTCCAAGGGCCGGCTCAAGGCTCAAGCAACTAAAGCCCTTGCTTTAGGCCCCCTAAAAAAAAGGCCTCCCAAATTTTTTTTTAATACTAATATTATTTTTAACAATTTTTTTAATAAATCATAATTTTTTTTAAGAAAAAAATTGGTTAGTTAATATTAATAGTTAAAGAAGTCCAAAAGTTTCTCTTTTTTTATCTCTATTCTTTTACTAATTAATTTTAATTTTTATCTTCTCTTCTCTCTCTATGTGACTTTTTAGTTCTCATCTATTAATTATCTTTACTTTTCAGACTACTCAGTTTGAGTGTGTGATACATACACATAACACATTAGTTAATGACTCAATATTTTCAATTTCTCATCTGAGTCATCTCTTATATGTTGTGTACTCGTGTTGGTTGTTGGTGTTTTGCTTGTGTATGTTTCGATTTCACTGATTTCAAGGGATAGAAGGAGGCAACGCAACTCAAGCAAGGAGCTATTTGACATTTCTTTCTTTGCAGTGCGATAATGTGTCATATCAGGTAAAAATCTAAAATTTAAAACTTGTTGTACATTAGGATACTCTGATAGTGTCTCTTCCAATTTACCGTATATCGTTTGCGCCTTTACAATTTTGTTTACCTTTTATTTTATTTTTACAACTCACAATCAAAATCAGGTTTTATTGTTTCGACTCATTCTTTTTTATATACTTATCTGTAGTAGTGTTTTATATATTATAATTTTTTATTTCATATAAAAATATATAAATATGTCAACTAGAAAATATGAATCAGGCTATTCAAAACTCCAAAAGAAGAGAAGAGTCGAGACTTTAATTTCATCAAAAAAAGAAGCTATGGATAAATTTATAAAAATAGATAAGAAAAATGAATTAGAAAATACAAGTGGGTGCTCTTTGAATGAACAAGATAATAACAATATAGACATAGGTGGAAGAAACAATAGAGAGAGAGTAGTTAGTAATGAGGATAATTTTGATTCTCAAACCCATGATAGCGAGGAGAAAATTGAGAGACTAGATGATAATTCTACTATTAATGAAAATATATATGATTCAAGCCAATGGAAGAATATTGATACAAAATTGAGAGATTAGTAGAAAAGGGCCATATTAAAATCACTGATATAGATTTTCCAAAAGATAAATATTCTAGGCACTTTTCTTCATCAAATTATATTACTAAATAAAATGCCTCATTCTTAAATTTGTTTTAGGTCTCCCAAATCCTTGAGCCGCCCCTACATGTTCCTAGATGATATGTCTGGTTAAAAAATATGTAATTCTCTCTATTAATTTAATAAATTTTAATTAAAGGGTGAAATTTAAAGAAAAAAATGCAAGCGAAATATGTTGTTATATAATTGCGAGACAATATTCAAGGGTAAGAATAAATTATTGAATTTGGGATCATTTGGCATGTGTTAGATAATATTAATTTGGAATTTTCAAACTTTCTTGTACTTGTAATGTGCACGAAATATTCAATACCTCTTTAAAATATGAAAATTGTCCTTTGCAGTTAAAAAAATACTAGTCACCCAAATGAAATAACCATTTGAGAGTAAATTATATTTGTTGAAATCGTTTTCATGTGTATAAAGTTCTCTAATTACATGTACTTCTAGTATTAAATGGAAAGACATATGAGCATATATGAAGAATCTTCAAATGCTAAGAAGGCAAATATTCTTATTATTTTTAGAATGTTGGATATTATAGGTGATTATTATAATTATTTTTTGTTATTTTTAAGTATATTTGTGACATGTTTGTAGGACATAGTATTTGGATGAAGTGAAAAATATTCTAACAAATGGACAAAAAGGATTGCATTGAGTCAACACCATTTATATGGTTGATGTCATTAGATAAAAAGGTTTAAATTAGTATAACATTGTTTAGTGAATTAAGAAGTAGATGAGTTGAAAAGAAATGAGGATTTAATATAAGGTCTGACATAATAGGTTTTACATTGTTAGATGTATGTTTAGGTTTAGGATTTTGTGTAATAGACAAAAATATCAAGTTTGTAGAAGAAGACATTGATTGTCATAGTAGGAGACTACTTAATAGGAAACATGTTATCTTGAAAATGATTTTCAACAAACTTGTTAAAAGTCAAAATGATAGAGATATTGATGACTTTTATAGGTTGTACATATTTTTAGGTTTGTCAAAGTTTTTATTCTCAAATAGACTGGGCACTATACATTTTGGGTTCTTTAAGGTAATATATGATTTATGTATGAATATTTGGTTCAAAATTGATGTGAAACATCAATTTGTTTGACGAGCCCAAGGAATTGTTCACCACAACTACATGTATTAAGATGTGTGTTTTTGTTGCATTAAATCCTCAATTATGATTTATGTTTTTTTAAGCTGTTTTTAAAGTTTGAATGCATTATAATCATTTGATTTGATATTGTGCATTTTCTTCATATTAATTTATATATGGTTTATGGAGCATATCCTAGTTTATAATACAAAAATATCTGACAAGATAAGTCAATTTCTATGATTTTTGCAATGGATAACTATTGTACTCGGTGAAAGTAAAACTTTAATTGTGTTTAATCATCACATAGTTTATTACAAATTCAATAGAAGTTGTTAACAAATTTACATTACCATATGTGAAGATGTAATTTGAATTGAACTAGTGTTGGTTTTCATATTGCTTATGATTGACAGGTTATTCATTACTTTTGTGTGAAAAATGAGTACCTTACTCATAAAAAAGCCTTAACACATACAATACATGAATTCCAAAAATTAAAAAATTTTATGTTATTGTGTCTAAAATTATTGCTGAAAATCGATTGTTTATTGCCCAAACGAAACAATAAGAATAAAAAATTACAAATCTAGAGGAAGATGTAAGACAATTACAAAATTTGTTACTTGAAGCAAAACTATTAAAAATAGGGGTAGATCATTCTCTATTATTTGGAATTTATTTTTCACTAGTATAAAGGAGATGAAACATAATATTGAAGGAGAAGTAGAATCAAAGTCGTATTGTGAAGGTTCAAACTTGTACATTCGACTTAAAGCTCATCCAAGAACACAAGTTAAAAGTGTTAAGATAAAAACACAATGGACTACTCATTCAAGGAAAAGAAAAAAGACCACATAGGTGTTAGCCGATTGTGATCTATATTAATTAGTTTTTTAACTTTAGTTTTGGCATGGGAAAGACATTAATTACTCTTTTAAGTTTTGATTTTAAACCTTTATAACTTTTGTGACTTTTAACTATGTGAATTTTGGACATTACTCATTTATAACATAGTCATTGTTATACCTAAACAATTTTGTATAAAAACATGATAATATCATATTTTTCCCAATTATATTACTAGCATAATTATGTAAGTTCATGTGGATGTTATTCTTTCGCATGTAAAATCAATTGGGTAACCATATGTGGTAGGGTCTAAGAAGAGA